TCATTTCTCTGAGCATTTAAAAAACTATTTAAAAATGGTTTCATCAGTAGTTGAGTATTGAGTATTATATAATATAAGTATACTTATATATTAAACTCTGAACAAAATTACTAATTTTTTAGCATATTATAACTGCATTTAACGATGAAAAACTATCCTAAATGTTCTTTAGCAAGATTGTTATAATACTATATCATAATTTTTATATTATGTGATATACATATTACGTGCAAAAATACTGTGATACTTTAATACAAACAAAATTAGATCAGTATGAGAAATTATTGCGTATGACATTCAATTGTTTTTTTTTTTGTTAGTTTTTGATATTTTTTGTTATTTAGAGGTCTTCAAAGATCTCTTGGGATTTACGGTGGAAATTTAATTTTTTTTTTTCATTTATAAATGGTTTCCATTGGTTACTTGGACACACATGAGGTAAAAGCGTGTATCAAATCGTCACGTTTACATAATATTATGATCTGATTTAAGAAATTATATCTTAAAACTAAATGTATGTGGCCAGTGTATAATATCTATAACAATTCCCAAGTCGTTTCTCACTAATTTAATATTAATACTTAGTAAAAAGTGCTGAAGTTTTTTTTTCTCTGATCAGAATTCAAATAAATTGTYACAAAAAACAGATTTTACATATACGTAACCTACATTAAGTGCTCGAGAATATTACTTACATATTATATAAATTTATTTTTTTCATAACAAAGTTCAACAATAAATTAGCGATATATCTTCAAAGACATAGTCATAGGACCTCCAATATAATAATAAAACATGTAAGAATAAATATAATATAATCATTGAACACTAACCAATAAATAATAATGTATGCTTATTTTTTATCTTAACAGTTTCTTATAAAAGGTTATTTTTTTCATTTTTATATCATTATATTATACTTACATAATGGAGGTTTATTGTTACACTTGAAACTCATTTTATCAAAAAGTAGTGACTTTTTCTAATTTATATTAATTTATAATAAATTACTTTTATTTTATAAAATATTTAACCATCATGGTACATTTTTAAAATAAATATATTTTACAACTTTTTATAKTAATTATTTACTTTTTTTTTAACGAAACATACATTTGTATGTATGAACAATTTAAACAAAAATCTAATTCCGTAAAAGTTCATACAGGTATAGTAGATTTATTATAAATTCACAATCATTCAAAGTTTATGGATGAGCAGAGTGGTTGTTGCAATAGGCACAAGTATATTAGACCGGTATCTTTTATGATGAACWTTATTATCCCCTCTATACTTCACTCATCTGTACCTACTTTAAATACATATTTGGAATTAGTAGTTTGGAATTTTTAAGAAATTATAGAAAATAATGTGCCTGGTAATATGAAACTATAGATTTAAGTATTTTTTCGTAAAAGTAAAAACTAAAAAAATATGACCAAAAATAGTGAAAAATATAATAAATAACTAATTCTTGTTACGCCAAAAAAACATWRTTTTTAAAAATTTTCATACATTTCGAGATAATAAGTTCACTGTTAAACAAAATATAATCCCGTGCATACATTGGAGAATATGTGGCTTATAAGTAGGGCTAGGATTTATTTGTAAATACATATTTTTACTGTGGCTTGATGAATTAATTTAGGTAAGTAATAAATTCGTTTCAAGGGATTTCCATTGTAATGAACTATATTTTATTTTACATAATTTGTCATAAATATACATATTTTTACATATTTCTCAATAATTCCATTTTTCCCTACATATTCGACAATTTACGATTTATTAATAGTTGTATACGATATATTCGATTTCCMATGTTTCAAAAAGTACTTAAACAAAATAATACCTATTACCAAAACAGCGTATTGCATAAAAATCCTGGTTTAGATTGCCTAAAATTAATTAGAGATACACATTGCGAAATGAATAGGGTAATATTTCCGGCTGAACTCACTGCTTTGGACATTGCAAATATGAAATTTGCATCCATTGCCTCGGTGGAAGTCGAACGCTCCTTCAGTCGGTACAAATCTGTGTTACGACCAAACCGTAGATCATTTAACTTTGATAATTTAAGCATGTATATGGTATCTCATTGCTTTCAAGATCAAGATCAAGATGAATAATAGTAGAAATATAAGTAAATCAGATAATTATGTGATTTATATAAAGCTATTTTTATTTTTATTCCATATTTTCATTTTTTAATCACATATAAAGTGATTTATTATTACATATTATATATTTAAATATTTTGGTTTTTTTAATACATATAAATCTGAGCCCTACTTATAAGTTATAACTGAAACTGTGGTTACATTTATTTTTACATATACCTACCAATAAATACCATTTTATACTTCGCTTATTCACTATATTTCATTTTGTATTCAATATTTTTTTTATAAAATATATAATATGTTGTGTACCTTATACATGTTACTAGCATATTGTTCTCGTGTCATTCTTTATTATTGGTTTTATGACTTTAAGCAAATCCTGAGATATCTGTAAAAACCGTTTTTTTCTTACGACTTTTTTTTTTTCTATGTACCATTTTTAAGTACACGCGTAAGAATAACTGTAACGTATACTCAAACCATTAGACTTATAACTGTATTGTATACTCAARCCATATAACTTATAACCGTAATYGAACAATAACAGTGCTTGAATTAGCAAACAATTAGAAGAGACTAGAGAGGGAAGTGTAAATGTGTAAAAAGTTATATTTAAATTAAATTTTAGAAACTATTACGATTCTAATCATAATGAACAACAAATATTGTGAACGTAAAATGTGCTATGTTGTACATGAGTCAGAGAGAAAAAAKTACGCTGACATTCTATTAAGCATTTATTTTACCAAACCTTGTATGTATGAATATGATAAAGTATAATAAAATATTTGAACCCTCATAAAGTTGATAAAA